GACGAGATCCGTCAGCCATCACTGAGCGTGTGAGTGCGTAAAACACCGACTTGCCCGTTTCGACGCGTAAATTCTTTCGCAGCTAGCGGCAAACAAACTCAGCTTCGTTGAAGGCCTCCTGGGCGTGACATATCTGTTTGAGTTGCTCTAGAAGCGGGCAAAGGGACTGCGTCGAAGTAAGCGCAGCAATAACGATATGCAATAGTATTTTGAATGGGCAAAAAATGTGCGAAAACTACTCTTTTTCTTCTAAGGCAAGGTTGCAGAATGTAACCTTCATGGCTTGCCCCGTAGCTGCCCCTAAAAGCGTTTTCGAATTAAACAAATCAACGGCGACAACATCGGCGAAACGCTGCACAGCGCAAGCAACAGAAAACAGGACAGGAACAAGGTAAGTCGAAACGTTAAAAACGGAAAAAGCTGTAAAATATTCATATCCAAGTAGAGCTAGAACGAACATAGATCGCTGAATGATTTGGGTTGAACTGCGTGACGCTAAGTGAAGAAGCGTCGCACCAATGTGAGGTTTATGCTTAAAAAATCAATTAATATGAACAATGACCGAATATCAAATAGGCAGATTGAAAACAGAAGAGGCTGTAGCCCTTGTAAAAAAAACGGTCTGTGAAATTATAGGCCTAAGTAGCGAAACACCTGACTGATACATACGTTGACGTCATATTCAAGTGGCATCCATTGCCCCCGATCTTTCTGTCCTTAAGAGCAATCGTACAAGAGATACTTAGTGGCACAACAGTGCAGAGCCGCAGAAAACCTCGCCGCCTAAAAATAAAAGAAATTCCGTTATAAATCACAAATATAATGTGTATAAATACCTATAAGCAATATAATTACATATTATTGGTAATATCTGGATAGGAGCCTTCGACCGACTGAAAACATCGTTGTCCGTAGAGATTTTGTGCCCTGTTGAGTCCATGAAGTAACTCTACATAGGGAAATGTTGTCACTGTGTCGTCGGCGAATGTGTGGCCCATATACGATGATCCTTTTGTCTAAAATAGGTCTCGAATATTGGGGCTTGCTTTGTAATAGTTCTGAAGATGAATACTGGACACCCATATACGATGATCCCTTTGTCTGACATAGGTCTCGAATATTGGGGCTTGCTTTGTAATAGTTCTGAAGATGAATACTGGACACCCATATACGATGATCCCTTTGTCTGAAATAGGTCTCGAATATTGGGGCTTGCTTTGTAATAGTTCTGAAGATGAATAATAGAAATGCCAAAGGCCAAATACACAGTATTCACAGCTGTTTTTTAGTTCATCAACATTCGTCGACGCATCAGCTATTCTCTTTGCTTCCTCCGCTCAGCGTTTATATTCGATTGATCGGAGCATGGAACGGCATCCTTTTTGGCCTTTCAGGCCGTTTCCTCCTTTTCTACCTTTCCGCACGAATTTTACCTCAGCAAACAATCGTCTCTTAGGCTTTGCCTGGCGTCCTCCTTTTTGGATCTCTTTTTAGCTTCTAGTCATCGGTAGAGTGGCGTGCGCCTCACGCACTTGTCTTTGACGAAGAACACTTTCTTAAACTAGCTTTGCCGGTGGCCGCCATCTTTTATGCCCCATTATACCCCATTGCCCCTGACCAACCAAAAGCTCAGCTGATATTGAGCTTCCGAAATACGCCTGAATGATGAGCGGCTTTCAAGCTACACGAGCTCAAAATGGTGCAGGTAAAATTCAAGTAAGCTTCATTGCATGTGTTCATTGAAACCCAAAATAAATGTACTCAAAAGCTTCTATAACAGAGCAAAGGAATTCAGTATAACCATGAATAGGTGTGGCTCTATTGCTCCCATTAGTATGCACGCCAATACTAGTAAAAGCAAATCAAGAAAATCGGACCAAAAAGGAACACGGAAAATTCCGTCTTTGTGGTTTAATAAGAACACGTATAAAGTAATACAATTTCAGATAGAGCTGCAAGCTTTAAGGTTCCATTGACAACAATTGTATAATTTATTTCTGCCTGTTACTGTCGACTGCTATTGGCAGTAAGTTTCAGACGATTAAAGTCTATGTGATCACGGACAGGTCTCATTACTACATTCAATTCGACTTAAGGGCCGACCACTGAAGGCAGACAGGCAGGCAATAGTGCAGGGCTGCAATTGGCCTCTTGAAAAGATTTGTACCTATCTCCGCCTGCAATGAGTACAATACACATTCTAGCACCCACGTGACTTGGCCCTACCGCTTTTATAGGTAGCAGGAAAAGTTAGCACCTATCACTTCCTTGCTTCCTGGATCTGTTACCGGGTACAAGATGAAGTAGTACGAAGCTCAGTGTCTTAGTCCCATTGGGTTACGCTTTGCCCCATAGGGATATATGACTGCTGACCCCGGATGTATGAAACAGGGGGTTAGAGGGGTTAACCTATTTAAACAGATCTGAAAAGAAAGCCTAGCTGAAGTTACTGATTAAAAATTGCCCTTAGCATTGTAGTTTCGTCATGAAAAGAATGTATAAACGGCTACGTCACAGTTCCAGATACAAACATAAACATACATACCGCTTAATTGACGAAAGCGTTTAGCACGCACCGACATATAACAAATATCGCAATTTCTAAGTAACAAGAACAATTGGGTTGTTCCTTCAGACCAGTCGATTTAGTCACGTGGGCAAAGAAACATTTTAGGCAAAGGCATCGCCCAAAATGGGCGAATCCCAATCGGGGTGTCAATGCTTGAGTACGTTAGTGTCCGGGGTCATAAGTCAGCTGACTGGGTCGATGTTCTCATGTTCTTCGACCAAATATGCCACCGTCCTATGACAACATTGCTTCGATTCACGCGCATAAGGTGGGGAGTGACATCCGAGTCTAAGCAAAGTCTCAATAGAGAACTGCGTCGACATCAGCATCGACTGAGTGCACAGACTGAGTTACGAACAAACATTGAGAACGACTCGGAGGATCCATTGAACGGAAGCTAGAAGTTTTTATTATTTTTCATCGAATTGATTTCGAGATACTGCTGTTAATCTGATCACACTTAGTACTACAATAAAACGAGATGATGATGGCAGTATTTAGGTGAAACAGGCAAAGTGTATTTCAAGAACATGATAACGCGTTATTATCGATGGTATTTAGGATAGCCATTCCAGAATTTGCATTTTAATAGCAAAATAAAATGTAAATTAAATATAGGGTATTAATATTAAAAAATTAATACCTTGTAGGACTAGATTAGAAATAGAAAAAAAGATGCCGAGCAATGGGCATGGGGTGACTTTTTGAAACTAATCAATTTCAGAAGCTGAAATAGGATTATACCAATAAAAGCCACTTCAACAGTTTGTAAAATAAGTTCATGGATTACTCATTATTTAAAAATACCTACACGTTTCAATTTCGCAACTGGATTCAACGGATTCAATGTTCAATTATATAATAATTCCTAATTAACAAACTTTGTCCTGAGCCTGAGTTGTACGCTCAATAAAGGACACTAATTGAATGCTTCATGCGTATAGGAATTACCTAGAATATATATTGTCCAAATTAGACTTAACTTTTTAATTTTTTTTACTATAACTTATATAAAAATATATACGATAACTATTTCTTTCATTTGTAAGTAGCCACATACGTACTATAGAATAATGTAATAGCAACGGAGGGATTCACGGTTATTTTTTGAACCGCAGTTATGCTCCTGGAACGGAATCCATCCAGGACGATCTCCATAAACAGAGAATTGTCGGTTTGAGTCAATTTTATACGACAGTAGCACAGCCAGCAATGGTCTTGGAGAAGAAGCACTCGCAGAACATCGTTTGTTCGCTAAGGAAACTTTTCCCCGATGTCCTCTTAGGTTGTCATCCGCTATTTTACTCCCATGGGTGCCGGGACGCGTCTCTAGAACCGGCTTTGCCCCCTTCGAGCCTGTATATTCAAACTCAGCGGGTCCTAAAGTTTGATTTAAAACAGAAATATACCTACGTTATAAACCATAGTCTTGAACGTTCTATAATAATTATTTCCATACCTTTGAAGCATTGTATTGGCTGATAGTTCTCAGGAACATTATGTGCTTGCCAGTCCATTGTGATCACGTTATCGCACAGACGTCATTCATGTCCAATTGTAAGGAATACAGTTTGTGCATATCTTTTAGATACATCTAACGGCAATACATAGTTTAAATAATTCTGTTAAAATTATAATTTTTTCTTTTTATCTCGCACTCGGATCGATAACTTAAGGCTATTCCGTTTATATATTCCGTTAATATGCATCATATTTTAGCTAACTAGGTAAAAGCGATTATTTTTTTAGCATGATCTTAGAGTTCTGTCTTTATTTTTTTACTTGCTGCCTGTATACTGCTTGATGTACTGATATAGCTGCTTGATGCCTGTATACTTATCCCTTGCCACTTAATTTTGTTATTTATTGTTTCTCTGAGCAAATCGAAATCACATAAAGTCTAATACTAAGCTTATATCTGTTTAGGTTTTACCATAAAACACATACTACCGATTCAACCAAATCAATAGTTGTGTTTTTTTTTCAGGTTAAGCGTTTGGATGGCTCGTCAGCGTCCGAAATTAGTTTCAGATTTGTGACAGTTTAAAGATGCGCAACTCTAGTTAAGGCTGCCTAAGATAGCTTTATCCGCCGAAACTTATCGTATCCGACTGTTATCTTTCGCTAAATTCGTTGCGATATAGGCTCTTTATCTTTTAAAGTCAAGCCCTCACTGCATACGATATTCTGTTGATTGTTATATGATAAAAGCCAAGGTCTCTGGTTCAAGCCTCGCCAGCAACATTCGACAGCTTTGCTTAAATTAATATACATGGTGGTCCTTCGTGAGACCTATATAAGCACGAGATGACTCCGCCTATGAACAAATCAACGACTCTGGGAGTATTACGAGCTCTAACGAAGCAACCATGTGGTCTCTTACGGACGTAAGATACCTAATTATGTTAAATATTTTTCGAGGTCCATCGACGCAATCACGGGAAACCTCGTTTGCTGTTGTACGGAAAAAGAGGAGTGTTTTTAGGGAATTAATTGAATTAAGTCACATATTACTAAAACACTAACTCTCACAGCAAAGGTGAACTGTATATTTATATTTTATTTACATCGGGGCAATGTTCGACCACTAGATTTAAGTGAACCTTTGTTACCATTTGCTAGTGTACCTATTATTAGTAAAATTACGCTTTGTGCACGCTAAAAGTGGCAACTTTACTTGAGTTATTAGGTAAAAAGTTAGCGTAGTTAGTTTACTTAAATACTGTAGACGTTCAACTATCAGCCATTATATCGAAACGGGTAATTCAGGAATGGTGAGCATAAATGTTGCCATAGTGTCTTTTTGATTTTAGGCGTAAGAAGCACTATGCCGCTATAAGACGTTGATACCTGAGAATAGGATGTCAAAACCCTGACAAAGGAACCGTCATCCTGGCTCACACGAATTCAGACAGAAACAAGTAGCATCAACTATGGCGAACGCAACTCTTGGCTTTAAAATTCGATGCGCCCCATAAACTGAAACCTGTCTTTCGATAGAAATTTGCCTCCCAGATTAACGTTGCGACAGAATAGATAAGGAAGAAGTTCGTAGTCGAAGCCTAAATAACAGATCAATCAGAGATTTGTTTTTGAGGGTAATCGTCATTGAAGCTGACAGCTTTTTAATGAATTTTTTAGAACAGATCCAAGTGAAGTTTATCCGCGAATACCTTCAGCCGTTTCTAACTCTCTATGGCTATCATGCACATAATGTAGGAAAAAATCAAGGCTTACTCCTAAAGCGTCTAGTGCAACGTTTCGCAAGCAGGTTTAAGGCACGAGTTCGATACGGCCTTATCAATATGCCAAGTAGGACTCTATTTCCATAATTAATACAAAACCTACCAAAAAGAAAACATATCTGCAGATATTAAATATTTTTCATTTCTAGCATTTGCGTTACACTGTACGCTGCCTCAAATACCCTTGTTTAATGCCAAGTAGTATTCTATTGCTTGCCACTATGCGAAATAAGCCATTTTTTTTTGCCAATCAAGCAGGATTCTCGGATGAACTAAGGAGACCGATCATGCAATGTGTGTAGGTGTGCTAGATGCACGTACACGCCATTTTTTTAATCCTGCATCGCTGTATAAAGCGAAGTTGTGCCGTAAGTTCAGAAAGTTGTCGGCCTCTAAATTGAAAGAGAAGGTGCTTTATGTATAAAAGGAGACTGGTGAAACTAATTCTGCCGGGCGCCTGTTACATGGGGAAAATGGATAGTCGAAATACGAAAGCCTGGAGACCTTGTTGGCCGGTGATATATCATGTTAACAAGGGATAACATCTGTTTTGCATTTGAATAGCGCGAAGCTGAAGTACGCTGACGCGACGTGGAAGACATGAAACGCCGTCGAGCGTAAACTCCTTATACTACCTTCAGATCTTTGTAGCTAGCCCATCTTCTTAGTCGCCATTCAAAGAACACCTAGCGGCTTGGTATGCCTACCCTGCTGAAATTGGCTCGGTCTGTGCGTGTCAACAATACGTTTACGTGGCTCTACGAAAGAGTTACAATCGTTTGCATTTCATATTCATCAAACAGGAACGACGTTTGTTGCTCGGCGAAATAATGGGAAACAGACCAAATCTGACCGATAGATGTATCCGCACGCATTAGTAGATCAGAGAAAGTTTAGCTGTAAGGCTAGATAAATATTCAAATGCGCAGTCGCTGTTTTCAAACTTTTCGTTTTTACATTGCTAACTCAGAGGATTAATTTGGCATCTTCTCTTGATTTTGCAGAATCTTTAAACAACTCTGAAAACTGACATTCGCACAAAAGCTGATATGAATGCCATATTAAGCATGTCTTTAGAGGTACCACATCGGTAGTCTTCGGTATAACTGACTTTAGGCTGGAACCTGCTGAAATTTAGTACATATAGTTCTGAGATTCACCTATACAAACCTATGACAAATCTCTCAAGCTGCTGGTTACATTCTGCGGATAGATGGGGATTTATAACAGGCTTAACAGCTGAGATGGCCAGCAACTTTTTGTAAGGAAGAGGAACAGTTGTCAGCAACGAGTGTTGCGACGACTTGAAAGTGGGCTGACTTTTAAAATCGCGCGCCGAAAAGAAGTTCTGCTCCGTAGCTTGTCTGGGTACATCGATCGTTGCGCCTAGCTGAAAGCTAACGTTCATAATATGTTTACACGCAACTAACAGTACTAAGAAGAAATCGATTTTGCGTCTACTTCTAGACGCACTTCAAGGTGATTGTCAATGTCATGCGTTCGACGTAGCAGTATAAGATAACTCTATTCAAACTTATAAACATCAATTAAACTTGTTGCCAATCGTAATAGGCTAGCACTTAAACCATAATAGAAATAAAATATTTATATTTTAAATAATAAATTGTCAAATAAAAATGTTCGCTGTCTTCGCCTCACTTGCGTATAGAATCATGAATTTATCATTAGATAATCTAATATGACTGCGTTGCTTGCCAAAAAAACTTTTGCTTGCTAATGTTGCGTCAAATAATTAGTGCTCCCATGTTTCTATGCTTCGGGGGTTCGATTTAGAGGGTCAAGTTAGCAAACTTCATGTGCATCTGGTACGCAGCAAAAATACTACTTAACTATATGAGCTTCATTCAGTTCTTCTGTTTGTTTTTATACCAATTGCTATTCCCGAAGAAGTAACTACAGGTGTAATCGTTTACGAGAAAGCAACAAGATTGTTCTATTTACGATATATTTGAGTGCTATGCAGTCATAGCGCATTTCACAACATGTCGTTATATGTAAACGCACCGATAGTCCATAGGTTTGTTCAGCGTCTCTCTGTTTCTTTTGTGTATGTATTTAGGGCGCAAATATCTATCTATCATCAAAACATGAGTTCGAAGAGAGAGAAAAAGGATCGAAATCTGTCGACTTTTGGATCAGCTTACGTAGGCTGACGGCGGCGTCGAATATGACGAGATCCGTCAGCCATCACTGAGCGTGTGAGTGCGTAAAACACCGACTTGCCCGTTTCGACGCGTAAATTCTTTCGCAGCTAGCGGCAAACAAACTCAGCTTCGTTGAAGGCCTCCTGGGCGTGACATATCTGTTTGAGTTGCTCTAGAAGCGGGCAAAGGGACTGCGTCGAAGTAAGCGCAGCAATAACGATATGCAATAGTATTTTGAATGGGCAAAAAATGTGCGAAAACTACTCTTTTTCTTCTAAGGCAAGGTTGCAGAATGTAACCTTCATGGCTTGCCCCGTAGCTGCCCCTAAAAGCGTTTTCGAATTAAACAAATCAACGGCGACAACATCGGCGAAACGCTGCACAGCGCAAGCAACAGAAAACAGGACAGGAACAAGGTAAGTCGAAACGTTAAAAACGGAAAAAGCTGTAAAATATTCATATCCAAGTAGAGCTAGAACGAACATAGATCGCTGAATGATTTGGGTTGAACTGCGTGACGCTAAGTGAAGAAGCGTCGCACCAATGTGAGGTTTATGCTTAAAAAATCAATTAATATGAACAATGACCGAATATCAAATAGGCAGATTGAAAACAGAAGAGGCTGTAGCCCTTGTAAAAAAAACGGTCTGTGAAATTATAGGCCTAAGTAGCGAAACACCTGACTGATACATACGTTGACGTCATATTCAAGTGGCATCCATTGCCCCCGATCTTTCTGTCCTTAAGAGCAATCGTACAAGAGATACTTAGTGGCACAACAGTGCAGAGCCGCAGAAAACCTCGCCGCCTAAAAATAAAAGAAATTCCGTTATAAATCACAAATATAATGTGTATAAATACCTATAAGCAATATAATTACATATTATTGGTAATATCTGGATAGGAGCCTTCGACCGACTGAAAACATCGTTGTCCGTAGAGATTTTGTGCCCTGTTGAGTCCATGAAGTAACTCTACATAGGGAAATGTTGTCACTGTGTCGTCGGCGAATGTGTGGCCCATATACGATGATCCTTTTGTCTAAAATAGGTCTCGAATATTGGGGCTTGCTTTGTAATAGTTCTGAAGATGAATACTGGACACCCATATACGATGATCCCTTTGTCTGACATAGGTCTCGAATATTGGGGCTTGCTTTGTAATAGTTCTGAAGATGAATACTGGACACCCATATACGATGATCCCTTTGTCTGAAATAGGTCTCGAATATTGGGGCTTGCTTTGTAATAGTTCTGAAGATGAATACCGGACAGGAATTTGTTGCAGCAGATGTTCCATTTATTGATAGGTAAATTGGTGTTTCATCTGAGCTAATACTGAATAGAAAATTGATTTGTCTCAGATTATGATAGGGTCATTCACAAAGAAATTGCATACTTCGCTTTGATAACAAAACGGTATTCTTTTGTATCGTTTACCTAGTTAGTATTACCTCTCTATAGAACGAACAATCTAGGGCAGTCGTAAACGTTATTTCAGCTGCTGCACTGCAATAAAGTTCATGTCAAAAAACATTCAACAAAGAAGAGCGTTCCAGTTTAAAATGGTTAGGCAGTGTAAATTTTAAACGACCGAACTCATACACGCATGTGGGAAGAGCATATCAAACGTGTAGAGATTTACTGCATTGTCTAAGAAGAGTACATACAAGGATAGGCCTAACGATAGACTGCTTACTGTGTTAAAGGCTTGCTTGTAAAGGTGAATTCCGTCCTTCTGAACATCACTGTTTATTGCTTACGGAAGGGGACTGGGTCATCATTTCCTTTCCCGTTCGAAAATCTGTAAGGATTAACAGCGAACAGTTAAGTAGGCGAACTTAAAAAAGCACCATCTTTGAATATTTTTACTTCAGTAGATAGGTATTTGGTAAAAAGAGAAAAGGTCCACAGATGAGATGAGAAACTTTGGCGCATCGACAACTGCTCAGTATTTTGTGAAAATATTAATCTTATGGTGGAGCCAAGAATCCAGGTTACTTACCCGGCAGGATTATTGTTGTAATATTCAAAACTTTTTTCGTTTCCATGATAACGAAGTGAAAACTTGTGAACAGTTCTAGAAGCGGCTTACGAAGGAAAAGTCGAAGCATAGACTAGTCACACTGACATTTTCCAAAATAAAATAATTTTAGACCTTAGAAGAAGCAAAGAAGTATTTTTATTTTCGCCCATTGCACTGTGACATCACTTATACCCTAACAATATTATAGGAAATTACATGATTTTGAAAACAGAGCCTATAATGTAGGCAGTCTACCTGATTTCGTCTTTATGATAAAGGCTAGGAACAATTAGGTCTACGACAGATCTATGATTATAACCTACTGAATCTACAAGGACGGTGATCCTAAAGCTGAGATTTTGTCTAATTCTCTAATGCTACGACGGAAAAGCTAAAACTATTCAAATTATGTGCCAAGCCGTTTTCTTCACTGTTATATTCCATGTTTCTTTTAAAGATCAAGAACTCAAAACACTAAAATATCACGAAAACATGGCCGGACTTACAGTCTCATTCAAACAGGGATTTTTAAATCTCATTTGTAAACCTGTTTAAAGGGTAAAATAATGATAAATTTGAAATACGTACTGCAGAGCTAAAATCCTGATTACTGTGCCGTAGGTAATGTGCTTTTGAAGTCGAAACTTATAAAGCGGGTATGTAGAGTAAAAATTAGAGATATTTTCTTGGAGGTAGCTTCTAAGCTTTGTTGTTTATTTACATAACTCCAAAGCAATGTTTAGTGATTTCAAAACAATTATTAAGATTAAATTTTTCGTCTAAAAATACGTAATGTCGAGTATTTTCTTTAATATTCAGGGGCTCACTTTGCAATATAACAAATGCATTTATTCAATAATTTAGATACATCCATTTACACACTTTCAAATTAATCATTATACATCTGTGAGAAGACCCACAAAATACGTTTTCTTGTCACAAAAGAATGCCCTTTAATAATATTTTCTAAATCGTCACGGTTTTCAGAAAATGCGTATGTGATAAAAGAGCAATTTAGAACGCAGTTTTTAGGCAGCTCTTCGACTGAGTCATCCTCGGGTAAGTATTAAAAAAACATTTGTTAAGGAATAATATTGAAATCGTAGACAAATAATGACATAATAAAAAATAGATAGTAATAGTAAAAATAAGCATAAGCGAGGGCAAAGTCAAGCAGATAGTTATTTTGATTGGCCTCATAGCTTATGCGAGTACCACGTATGTGTAGAACATTTGTATAAGTATAGCCCTCGTACATTATGAAACGATCTTCGCCTACTAGAAGAGAGGAACGTCTAGAATAAGGTTAAACTACTAAAATACTTTCGTCCCAGGACCAACAAACGATGCCCTTACCTACTCCACAGGCGCCACAAACGTAGTTTTAGCTCTCTGTATATGAAAAATGTATTTATTTCAGACTGTTTCCCATGTTAAATAAATTGCAAATGTTTAAATACATGTCTGTTGTTATTAAATGACGGTCGAATCATTTTAATAAAAAGGTTTAATGCTTAATCTACTTTTGTATGCTTTCGGTCAGTACGCTACCTTGTTGTTTAAAGATCCTTAGAGCTATCCTTAGAGAATGACCTACTGTGCCACGTCAACCTAGTTTATTTTGTTTATTATGCCTGAGAACATTACTGTGACCATACTCTCTGTCTGTCACATCGTCGTTGGTGATAGATATTTTCAATAATAGAAAACACTCAAACGCGATTTCGTCCACTATATCGATCTGGCGCCGATAGCTGTTTTGAATAAATACATATCATTTTTGGAGGAATAGTATCCATTGTACTGAATTTACTCGCACAAATATTTAGGATAACAAATAATTTTATATGATACTAAAAACAAATCTATTACGATGACTTATAACGCTCCCATAGGTCACGTCTATGCAAATGGATTTTTTGCAAATTTAGGCACTCCTAATAATTCCCATCAATTATTATAGGTCTCAGCCAAAAATCATTTACATACTATTCACTAGAAACAAGTTAAGCATGAAAAAACGTCTAAAAATAGAGATGTCGTTGATGAGACAGTCGAAAGTCTGCTGAACTATATCGCACGTGAAACGGAATGAAACGAATAACTTATAAGCATAATTAGTAATCCACTGCAAACATTTTTTATTTTCCAACTTTTTTTTTTACAATGGATACAATTTAAATGATGACTGTGCTTAATACAATTGAGACCAAAGAGGTGGAAACGTTGAACGTAGGATATTGAACAAATGACTCGGGTGAGTAGAGTGAGGAATTTTTACCTTTAGATTAGGGCTTATTCTCTTTTTTCTGTCATTAAGTCTTCATGATGTGGCCCAAGATATTTAGGTGGAATTATTCTTAACATTTTGGCATCTAAAATGGTTAGCAGAAACAACTGTTCATTAGAAACGTTACCTCCTGCTTGTTCCATATAAGAACAGTCTTTTATCTAAATATATGATCCCTTTGAATCTGCAAGTACGATAGAGAAAATAGGCTTTCATATTTTCTCGAATGTCGTAATGATCTAAAGCGGACAAGTATGACTTTCACAGCGGCCAGCTTGAAAATTTTCAAAAATATTAAAAAAATTTAAACGTCTTTTTACTTTTTTAAGATCACAAATTCAAATCCATAATTTCGTTTCCAATATTCTCTTAAAAAAAAAAAAAAAAAAAAAAGAACAGTTAGAAAATAATAGAGAAGTCTTAAAAAAAGAAGGATGGGAGGAGGACGAGAATTTCCTAGTGACAATCTAATCAGAAAAATCTCAGACTTGTAAAGTAATTAGCAATTTTTCGATTTTTAGCATCCCCATAGTAATCGAGCTTCTGCGCGAATTTGCAAAACAAAATAGCAACAATGGAAAAACGTGTTCCGTGTTATTTTGTCAGCGAAACATCCGGATAACCCACAAGGTAGCAACAACGTAATATTGTAGGAGGTAAGGGTCCTTGACCTTTTTTTTTCACATAAGGCATTGAAATATTTATCCTTATTTTACCTTAACCTACACCGGTACTTTGTGTTATTAGCTACAGACTGCTGAAATTCACTTTGCAATTATATACGTTTTATAGCATCACGATTTTCTAAATTTGCGTAGCTCAAATTTTTAAAAAATCATAAACGAATCTTTGACGTATTTTAATATTTGACCAGAGCGTGGGTATCTCCACTGATAAAGCAGAAATGGTAATTATATCGAAATTTGCACTAAATATCTACAAGGTCTGAATTTGTTATTTTCGACAATTTGTCTTGTTAAAATCGGTTGCTAAAAATTATCCACTAATAAGCTTTTATTGAAGTGCTTTCATCTAAATAGTCTTCACCGCATGCTATTTTTCTTCTTCGACGTTTATTCTTATTCAGCTTTATTACTATTATTATTATTATTATTTTAATATCCATGTTTAGAAATTGTCGATCCAAAACTGGTTTTTCTTGCTTCACCATATCGACCACAACTGTTTTTAGAGTGAAGCATATAGAACTTTTGTTACTGTGATTGCCTAACCCCAGTCACCAATGTGAAATTTGTTTATAATCATTTATTGTAAAATTTATTTGCATTTACGGACACTCACAAACGTACATCACGTACAGATCTATTTAACAGAGGTAATATCCTCTCCGGGTACCTCTCTGCTTCAGGCAACGTATGTCCCCTTTGGGGCCGTTCGTATATTTGCGTGTTCGATCTAAGAAACATTCATATTATAATCGTATAGATTTACTTACATTGTGTGTATTCGTTATACAATATAGCCACATATAATAATAATATTATGTATTATAAGTATCTAACATTTGTTTTGAGAAAAATCCTATCATAAAATCTATATGTCGTCTGATTATTTCAAGCGCAAACGTAACGACCACAGCAGATTGTAATGAAATTAATGAAAATATACGAAGATCTAATAGGGGTAGTCAAGGTTACTCGTTTGATAACCTATATCGCTGAAACTAATTATCGAGAAATCTATCGCCTGATATATAATATAAGCGTTGCCTATAACTGTTACCGTCAAGGCAGTGATATGAGTCTGTTTCGACTGTGTAATACGTGTTTTTGCAAATTTCGTTAACAGCATTTGCCTTGCTATATTAATACCTCACAATGTTATGACTAGAAAAAGAGAGCACTAGGCTGGATAGCACTTTGAGCCGAATTATGCTTTCAATTTCTCTGGCAAAGGATGTTCTGTGATCGAGTAGGTCCGAATACATCGTATAGCCCTAAATTCCCGTTAGTTCATGTAACTTTTAAAATGACCATTTAATATAACTAAATGTATTGAATTTAATTAAATCATTTGCTATCAACCCGTTACGCAAAATGTAAATAAGGCAAGTAAAAAAAAAAACGTGTCTTTACAATCTTCTATAAAAAAAAAGGCTAGTAATTCTGCATTTTTACGGTTTGACTAATGCTCAAGAATCAAAATAAAATTGCCTACCAGTCCCAGGCGCCTATTGAAACGCCAATTGGTAAAAGGTCCAGCAAGCCAAATATCAACTCATACCCAGCTCAGAAATAGTAAAACCTTCATAATACTCATTTACAACATCTAAACGGGCAGGTGCCAAGACTTTCGGATCAGCAATTGAACGTCACAATTTTTCTAAGCGCTGAAGCAGTTCCGGCTGTAAAGGCCGTTTCAATTTTGGTCGGTGCTGGAACAGTTCTGATTCTAGAGGTATCCTAAAAGTGCTCGGGTACTTCAGACTACAAAGGATATTATAATTTCACTCTCTTCTGGAGTAGGTGCGGCTGTAGAGGGCGTTTCAATTTTAGCTGGTGTAGAAGTAGTTCCAGCCGTAAAGGGCATTGCAATTCTGATGGATGCTGGAGTAGTTGGAATGGTAGATGACGGTATAATCTTGCTCGGTATGGGAGTTGTTCCAGCTGTAGTAGGTGCTGGAGTAATTTCGGCTCCAGAGGGCGTTACACTTCTTGGAGTAGTTCCGAGCGCGAATGGTGCAGCAATCTTGGTAGATGCTAGAGTATTTCCTTTCCTGGCGCACGTCACACTTCCGGTGGATATTGGGGCAGCTGTGTTTGTAGATGGCGCTGCTGTCTTGCCGGTTTTGGAATAATTCTATGTCTAGAAAGCGTTACGCTCCCGCTGAATACTGAAGTAGGTTGGACGTTAGAATTTTGGCTGGTACAGGAGCAGTTCCTATCGTAGAGAGTGCTACAGTTCGGAAGAAGTGCAATGAACAAGCACACACGATTGCCAATCCACAATACTAATAAGTTTAAGACAATGTTAAATTGGCCACTTTTATATAGGCCTAATAGATATTGCAATTGCATTTGAAAACATTTAGTATTTTTATTTACATACATTTAGTCTTGGTATTTTGTAGCAAAGCATATTTATTTATTGATTACTATATAGGAACTTGAAAGCAGTTTCAACGGTTCAGAAGGTTATATTTTTAGGGATTAGAGAAGAAGGCCGTCACCATATTTCTTTGTTTTTCGACTTCATCTCGCCGCATTACCCTTTTTGGAAAACTTTTTTTCTGAGTTTTCGCTATTGGTAGGTTTAAACAGGGCACGTGTACCTATTTTGATCAATACATGAAGTCTCATCTTGTAACGATTTTTTATTAGGACCAACAGAAACAAATATGGTACGAAGTTAGACCCGTCAATGGCGCATGTGTAATATTCAATGCGAGAGAAAGAAGAACCATTATATGCTCTATAATTAAACTGCTGTTGATTCTACCTAACCGTAGAAACCATATAAGAATGGGTAAAATTAAAGAACAATTGCAGGAAGTAGCTAGCTTTTACATTTTAGACGCTTCAGGACTCTGAGCTATTTGTCAATTTTCACACAATAGCCAAACGAGTCATACATACCTTTGACATTGTGGGAGATAGCAGCGTCTGAACATAGCATTTTCTAGAAAATGACGCATTG